TGATAGTATTAAGAGATGGGGCCTTTAGGAGGTTGTATTAGTCCATTCTCACACTGATATGAGGAAATACCTGAGACTGGGTAATTTATAAAAGAAAGAGATTTAATTGACTCACAGTTCTACACTGCTTGGGAGTCCTCGAGAAACTTACAATCATGGCAGAAGACAAGAAGGAGATACCTTTTTCATAGGGCAGCAGGACAAAGTCAGTGCAAACCAGGTAAATGCCAGATGCTTCTAAAACCATCAGATCTCATGAGAACTCACTCAATGTCATGAGAACAGCATGAGGTAAATGCCCTCATGACCAATTACCTCTACCTGGCTCTGCCCTTGACATGTGGGGATTACGAAGAGTATAATTGGAGGTGAGATTTGAGTAGGGACACAAAGCCAAACCATATCAGAGGTGACTGAGTCAGGAGAGTGGAGGTCTTATGAATGGATTAACACCCTTATAAAAGAGGTTCAGGGGAGCTCTTCCCTCCCTTTTGCTCTTCTGTAATATGAGAACATAGGGTTCAAGGTGCCGTCTTGGAAGCTGAAACCAGGAATCTCACCAGACACTGAATCTGCCAGTGCTTTGATCTTGAACTTCCCTGCCTCCAGAACTGTGAGAAAATAAATTTCTACTCTTTATAAATTACTCAGTGTGTTAGTCTGTTCTTGCACTGCTATAAAGAAACACCTGAGACTGGGTAATTTATAAAGAAAAGAGGTTTAATTGGCACATGTTTCTGTAGGCTGCATGGGAAGAGTGGTTTCCATTTCTGGGGAGGCTTCAGGACACTTACAATCACGGTGGAAAAGGAAGGGGAAGCAGGTACCTCTTACATGGCAGTAGCAGGAGGAAGAGAGAGTGAGGGCGCAGGTGCCACACATATTTAAAGAAGCAGATCTCATGAAAACTGGGAGCTGTGCTAAATCATTCATGAAGGATCCACCCCCATGATCCAATCACCTCCCACCAGGCCCCACCTTAAACATTGGGATTTACATATCAAAATGAGACTTGGGTGAAGATACAGATCCAAACCATATCACTCAGTATCATGTATTTTCTTATGGCAGCACAAATAAACCATGACACTATATTAATAAAGCTACGTTCAGATGTGTGTTGTTTGATAGACGTTACTAGAGATGGTGCAAAATGAAAATGAAAAAGGATGTCAGAATAGAAGCATTTCTATACATCTGGCTAACTTTTAATCATATTTATATTAACTAAAAGGCAAAAATCTGATCAACTCAAAAGATTCCAGCCTACTCTTCTTCCACTATTTAATAGCAATGATGACATTAAACATAAGGAAATGGTTGGACAGAGTATGGACAAGAAAGTCCATCGGGAGACTTGTCATTCACACAAAAAAGTAGCCTAGAAAAGATAATTTACTAAAAACAAAATCAGGGTAAATGCTTTGGGAAGATTTTAATAATTCATTCTTAATTCTATTCCTACTAATCTCATGTTCACTGTTGTATATAGCTCTGCCATTTGATTCAGATTGGCATTAAAACATCTAGACATTAATGCTAATTAAATCTGCCTTTTCATTCTGATAAAAACACATTCTCCCCTTTAGTATCAAACACATGCAATATAATGCAATAGTTTTTAAAAAACACTTTAGATCCTCTTTTTGTCCAATAAAGTCAGAAAAGGCAGGAAAGTGACTAATGTGAATACTATATTGTTGACTATTTTTCATTTCAATTTTAAAAGTAAATTATAAAAATGGCTTGCATCATGTTTATTCTGATTCATACTGTGAATTTCTCCCCTCTGTCAGAACCTGAGGGTAAACCTCAGTGTTTAATGTTGCATGCAGGTGTGGATCTGCCGGGGTTCCTCTCTAGCTGTCTGAATTAGAATTACTAAAGGATATAATAGGAACAGCCTTCTGGGGGATTTTGGATCCTAATATAAATTAGTATATATCTTATCATCATGAAAAATCTAGGCATAGCCTTCACTGAAAAAATAAAGACTATTTTACATTCCCCATTTTATTCTGCATAATAGAAAAGTAAAACTACACAATTTTCAAATAGTTCTGACCTTAAATTCAGCCCATCATGGAGCATTGGTGCCTACACCTTGGTAAAAATTTTGCGACATGAATTAACTAAAGCTATATGTATTTTGAATTGTATATATCAAGAAAGTAAAAGTATTTTAAAATGTCAATGTCCCTTGTGATTCTAACATACCAATCAATGCATACAGCAAGTATAAAATAGCTGTGGAACATCAATTTATTTTTCTTATACAACACCAGTCTAATTCTAAAATTGCTTGTGGAACATCTGAGAGAATAATTTGGACAACTTAGTCATGGTCTCTAGGGTTACATGGCAGATTTAACTGCATTACCTTTCAGTAAATTAAGGTGGAGTTAAGAGTATGTCTCAAACTCCTGGCCTCAAATGATCCACTTGTCTCGGCCTCCCAAAGTGCTGGGATTACAGACGTGAGCCACCATGCCCAGCCCTCACTCTCCATTATGTAACAGATAGTTTATAAAGATTTGTTAGAAGAATAAAAAAAATGAATGAAAAAAAAGAGTAGGTGCTTATAGTTTCAAAGTCTGAAGTACCCCCTTGGTTCCAGTGTATTCAGACCTCTGATAACTATGATCTTGTACCCAGGTCAGATAAGAGCACACTCAAGGCAATGACACTTTGTTGAGGCCACAATTGACTCCTTGCTGTTGCTTTAACACATTAGGCAATTTCCCACTTGAGGACACTTGAGCTGCTGGTCTCTATGGTTCCAATGCTCTTTCTCTAAGATATCTGCATGACTCACTCCTTCATATATATATTTTTAAACAGAGTCTCACTCTGTTGCCCAGGCTGGAGTCCCGTGGTACAATCTTGGCTTACTGCAACTCCACCTCCCAGGTTCAAGCGATTCTCCTGCCTCAGCCTCCCAAGTAGCTGGGATTACAGGCACTCACCACCATGCCCAGCTAATTTTTATATTTTTTATTAGAGATGGGGTTGTACTATGTTGGTCAGGCTGGTCTCAAACTCCTGCCCTCAAGTGATCCACCTACCAGGGCCTCCCAAAGTGCTGGCATTGTATGCATGCATCACTGCACGTGACCTCTCATTCATTTTATACCAGTGTCTTATGAAATCCTCCACTACAAATCCACCACCCCCCAATCTGATTCAGGTTGGCATTAAAACATCTAGACATTAATGCCAATTTAATCTGCCTATCTTTTCCCTACCCTATCTTCCTTTATTGCTTTGACTTCTGTTCTTATTTGGATTTATTCCATCTGCCGCATTATATATTTTTTACTTTATCAATCATTTTCCCCCAATGCAATACATACTGTTTGAAAGTAGGGACTTGACTTTCTTACTGCTGTATCCTCAGCAACTAGAACGGCGCTGGCAAATGATTGGCGCTCAATGCATATTTATTGAATGAATGAATGATGAACAGGAACAGAGCATATGAACATAAGTTTATCAGAAGGAAGATATCACTTCTTTCCTAGCAAAAATCTTTCAAAGTTTTGATCCATTCAGATATAGAAAATATTTTCAATTAAGCTTTCAATAAGCTTTTAATAGAGAGCAAAGTACACAGCAATGAAAATAAAGTGAAAAATTCTTCATATTTTTCCAACCACAAAAATTTGATGTTCTTTTTAGAGAAATAGTCTTGTTATGTTTCATAAGCTTGTTCATGCTGCATAGGGCCTGAAAACTAGAATGTGGCTATCTCAAGTCAAAATGGAGTTTCCCAGATGGAAAGGCTGCTGTCTTCAATGACCTTTCTTTCTTTTCTAGCTGTATAACCTGATCCATCTAAACCCAATTTAAATATCACTTTCTTCATGAAGACTTCCTAGATCTAACCATCCCAAAGATCTAATCTCCCTCTGAAGGTTACTCTTTAGCTGTAACTTTCCTAGGCCATTTATGTTTTCTTGTTCTTTAGTTGTGTCTGTGTGTTTGTGTGTGGGGGGGTGTGTATTTATCATTATGTTATTTTTGTTAATATTTCTTGAAAGTTTTTGTTGCTTGCTCTTCATGCTTTATGTCTCTGAAATGAACACTTTGTTATGTGATACAGCCAACAGCACTGACTGCAATCCTTTGCATGGATTAAGATCCAAGTAAATTTGAATAAATAAGTAAATACCATCCTTAAAATCAAACTGGCCTAGTACTAAGAAGAGACTGTCTCATCACAGACTAGCTCCCTACTTAGATTAAAACAAGGACTAAAATTCTGTCCTATTTACATGATTACATGTAAATAATTTACATGATTCTATTCCCTTGTGGCAATGGAGAAGTGACAGCATATGATTATGAAGAGGGGCTTGACTCAGGGATTCCCATTAACACTTTGAGTCTATGTCTGATGTAGCTACATGAATTTATATGCCTATCTTGGCTGCCCCAGACAGATCACAGTTGCCTACAATAAACCACCTGAAAAGAACTCATCAAATATTTCCCCTTATATTTTCTGGAATAGCACATTGTGTGAGCTCCTGGACCATAATTTTGCCAGGAGTTAGAAAGCAGTTGCAACTCCAAGCAGCATCTAGCTCACAATACTTGGGTTGTAAGGATTATAACCACTAAATAGTGGAATGTCTAGCAAAGGCAGTGAGAAAACCAGTTTTATTGAGCTAGTTGAGTCAGCTCCTACTAAACAAATTCTCATAGTGAATAAAATGAATGCACATTTTGTACCTAAAGTGCAAATATGTTAATATAAATGCAAATATGATGAGATTTTGGGCCACAGTGATATAAAGATGGGATTGCATTCATTTGTATGACTAAATAGCCAGTGAAAATACAAGAACTAAAACCAGAAAATGTCCAAAATCTCATTCTAAATATACCCGAGTCTTTCCAATGTTTCATTTTAATTTCATGAAGTCAAAATGTAAACAAAAACAACCAAATAAAATGCGATACAACAAAGACACAAGCAAGGCTGGAGGGTAACATACCGATGCACGCCACTGCTGCACATGATGATGTGGCAGGCTCCTAGCCTACTGCACAGCTCCGAGGAAACTGACAGCAGTCCAACCCCAGAGGCACTGCAAGCTGTGTTTGCACAGGCAGCTGTGCGCTTGGATCTGATAAACGAGGCTACCAGTCGGTAAAGTTCATCCAAAGCATTGAGAGGCCTCATTAGCTTCAGAAAGAAAGGAATGAACGTCAAGTTCAGCATGTTTAGTAAAATCCTTTTAGATGGGTTAAAATTCACAGTTGGTATAGCATTTAAAGAATAGTCTATAATATTATTTTGTTTTAGAAGTAATGGAATTAGAGACCACAAATATTTAAAATTACTCATTGCTCAATAACAACAGAAAAATTAAATAAGGGTGATATACAAATAAAAAGCACCAATAAATACAATCATCTATTTTTACCTTATCTACATAGGCAGCTTTGGATGTGGAGTTTGGTGGTGAATTTGACTTGTCCAAGTAAAACGCCCTGTAAGAATCCAAGGAAGAAATTATAATTTGTTGTTAGATAAAGACATAATATGCATAAAGATGTTCAAGAATCACTGACTTCCTTTTAATAACAAGTGAATAAACAAAAGCATTGAACACTAGAGTTTGGGGTTGCACAAATATCCAGAAGTTTCCATTTAAAAAAGATAGTTAAAATTACCACCAGGTCTATTACAAATTGTGTGAACTTGGAGAGATCACTTGACTTGTCTATGCACAGTATTCTCATTTGTAATTTAAGGATAGCCTTAGATTCTACTTCATAATGCTGTTAAGATTAAAAGAATTAATGCAAAATATGTGGAACAGTGCATAGCAAAGAATAAGTGCTTATTAATATTTGTAATAATCAATATCAAAAAGTTGAAGAAATATACTTTTACAACTATTGAAGAACACTATCCAATTTTCATTTACTGTGAAAAGATTATGAAACTAATTCTCAAAAAGATGAGCTGATTCTTTCCAGCACCAACCTATGCTCTATGCTCTGATTAGAAGTGAAACTGTCTCTAAGAGTTCAATGTCTCTTTTTTGTTACCAGGATACAATATGGTAATGACTATTTCAATACACGAAGTGGAATCCTAGTGGCCTAATACACAATGGACATACTGCAAAGGATATGATCTCATTCTTTCATTCTTTTCTATGGCTACATAGTATTCCATGCCATTTTGTGTATTAAAATAGCCATTTTAACACCCAAAGTGGAATCCTAGTGGCCTGCAAGAATTACATGCAGTTTCCAAAGAATTATTGCTGTGTTTGCTTTGCTTGTGGGTCAATACTAAGCAGAAATGTTAAGGGAATGATCTATGAAGATAAAATACATTTACATTTTATTTGACCAAGTATCCATTTTTTTAGTGATGGCAAAATATATACAGTATAACACAAAATTTACCATTTTACCCATTCTTTTCACTTATTTTATTTTAGATTCAGAGGGTACGCATGCAGGTTTTTTTATATGGATATATTACATAATGGTGGGATTTGGGGTTCTACTATACCTATCATCCAAATAATGACCATTGTACCCAATAGGTAAGTTTTCAACCCTCATCCCCTTCCCAACCTCACCACAAGTGGAAAGAGGCTGGGAAGGAGGTGAGGGTTGAAGTGTCTGCTGTCTTTCAACCCTCAGTGTCTATTGCTTTCATCTTTGTCTAAGAGGGAACACACAGTATTACATTTTCCATTTCTGAATTATCTCACTTAGTTTAATGCCTCCAGCCCCATCCATGTTGCTACAAAGGACATGATCTCATTGTTTTTTATAGCTACATATTATGCTATTTAAACATTCTCAAGTGTATGGTTCAATAGCATTAAATACATTCAAATTAACTATCTAGTATCTATTTTTGATGAGGTGACAAACTTCACATTTCTAGAATGTGAGGTTTTAATGTTGGTGGAACAAAGGAAGTTCCATGATATTAGAGTGAGTTGTCATATTAGATATTGAAATGAAAGCTGTTTATATTGTTGTTTCGGAGCATCTGTAGGACTTCAAAGTGTTGGTAGCTTATTATCAAATTCACAGTGTAATTGGGCAAAATCAGTGAGGGACAACTCTATACTCTGCATGGGTGTTTTGAGTCCCACTGAACATATGTGTTCACTCCCACACAGAGTGATACTCCCATTACTAGCAATAGTGTTTTGTCTTTTTAAAATAAAGTAACATGGATTAGTCAAGCTTTACACTTTAAATTACAAAAGCTTTAGCTCTAAAGACTAACTTCCAAAATGACAATTATGTTCATCTTTATTGGGAAGTGATTTTTTCTTGTCTAAAACACATATTGAACCCTCCTCAAAAGTTTTGTAAACAACTAAGAATCCAAGATTGGTTATTACTCATTATAACTCACTTCGCATTCCTAAGAGATTTCCAGGTACCACCTGCAGTTCTCCCAGCCTGAGCACATAATGCTGACTGATGGGAGTGTGGGGGCTACTGCAACCCCAGGAAGTAATCCACCAGACTGGGTCATGGTGACATGAGCCACTGCACAGTGGAACATCCATCAAATGCCATGAAAATGCAGTTCTATCTAGCTGAGTGAATTAGTGTCTACTAAAAGCACTAGACTGAGAGCAAAATAGAAGACTGAGGGATCATTTTCATGACTAAAATCAAAGGCATCATTTGTGACATCATTTTAAAATTTTCAACATATTCCCCATTTTCTGAAAGAGATAACAATCAAAGAGGAGTGCTGTCATCATAAGAGGAAATGAGCTTGAATGGTGTAAGGTACAAAAGCATGCAATGGGGCAGGGGCTGGGGAAGAGTGAATAAGCAACTTAGGCCAGAAAGGTAGATTTCAGGGCCTTAGAGGCGCTGATAAGATTTTACTCTAAGTGAATTGGGAGCCATAGAGGTAAATGGTCATGAAACTTGCCTCATTGCCAGAAGACTGGACGTTTTAAATATTATTGCTGTGTCCAACAATTCATGTTCTACTGAAAGGTCTGTGTGTCCTTTCATTTCAATTGTACATGCACTTATAGAGGATTACACTATGAAAACCTACTTGTGCATTTTGCTCTTTTGCTTCACCTTTTAAATAAATAAAATACTACAGATGCAGCAGAAGCCTCCAGTTGACCTATTCTTATTTCATTTCTGCCACTAAAATGTAAACTCTCCACTAGAATGCAGATCCTCTAGTAGCTATGGATTTATTTTTATTCATTTCTGCATCTCTAGAACCTGTAATAGTATGCAGAACATAATATAATCTTAATAAATATTTGTAAATAAATAATCATTTGACATTTTTGTTTCTTTATGGATGGCTGATATGGCTTGGCTCTGTGTCCCCACCCCAATCTCATCTTGAATTGTAATAATCCCCATGTGTCAAGAAAGAGTGGGGCAAGATGGGGATAATTGAATCATGGAGGCTCTTTCCCTATACTGTTCTTGTGGTAGTAAGTCTCAAGAGATCTGATGGTTCTGTAAATGGGAGTTCCCCTGCACATGCTCTCTTGTAAGATGTGACTTTGCTCTTTATTCACTTTCAGCCACAATTGTGAGGCCTCCCCAGCCATGTGGAACTGTTAGTCCATTAAACCTTTTTCCTTTATAAATTACCCAGTCTTGTCTTTGTTAGCAACATGAGAACAGACTAATACATTGGTATTCCTTTGGGCATCCAAATTAGACTTTGCCAGGCTGTTTCAATATATTCAAACTTCTGGGGAAAATTAATAATTAATGGTCCATTTTGTTGGCTGTCTTTCATACTGTTAGGTGTCCTCATGTGCTTTGGATTTATGTTTTGTAAGTACATTTGAAGTGGAATAATTTTTAAATTATTTGTATTTAGTTTTATTGATATAGCTCCATCTTCTCTCTCTCTCGTCATCCTTCTCTTAAAAATGGTTTTGTGGATCACACATTTGTAAGCAGTTTTATATCTGATCTGAGTATGACATTGTCTTGACATCTAGATTATCACCAGTCATGTCCCTGAACTAGTGAGTAATTCGGTTTAGTTTGGTTTAGTAGTTTAGGGCCATGCCTAAAACAACTTCCTCTTTCCATCTTATGCACCAAGCATCACCAAAGCTAATCTCAAGCAATAGCAACAAGTAGATTTTTCATCCTTCATTCAGAAGTGGAGTCCTCTGCTACCTGGTTTCAAACAGTGAGGCTGGCTCTGGATTTCCACCTAGTGTACAATGATGTTCATGTCCCATTGCCCTGCAGAGCTGTCCCAGCCCCCTCTGTCCACCTCCAGAGTCCAGCAGGCCAGAGGCCTCAGCACAGCCTACAACTCACCACTTGCATTTCATTTCCATTCCTGGGCCACAGAGATAAAAAATTGTTTTTGAGCCCAGCTGTGATGTTTACATATTATATCCTCATATTTTATCTAGCATTTGCTACATGCTTGGAACAGAGGCAGCATCTCAAAGCTGAACCCACAGAAGTACCTTGATCAGATGTCCTCACGCCTTTTGGTAGAAAAAGCAATGTGGCAAAAAATAGTACACAGGTCACAGTCAAATTATTTAGTCTCTCATAGTCTCAGTTTCCTTATTTTCAAAATGGATATTAGAATTGTCTGACACAGCATGATGCTGAAGATTAAATTAATGCATATGAAATGATCATCAGTGTGATAAGTATATAGGACTCATTCAATAGACAGTAATAACTATTATTCAAGTGCACACAGTGGCAAGCATCCCTGGACAATTTTTAGCCATGATAAGGAATAACATTAAGGGCAAAGCCATCCTACTTTCTGTGGAGGTAATCTAAAATATTTTATGACGCATGTTAAGAAATGAAAATTAAGTTAGGTATTTGGAATCTATATAATTACATGATCAGTTTATGAGTAGAATTTAGGTTTAAAAAGAAAAGAATGTTTTTCAGAATAAAGGAAAGAAGACTATCATTTAAATGGCCTAACTAGGTGCAACTCTTCTAAACCTTGAATCATCTGGGAAGAAAAATATTCTGTGAAAGCAGCCTATAGCTCATCAGTACCACCGAAGGGAAGCATTGCTACAGAAACAGCTGGTTGCATGGAGCACTCTCTTCTTTCTGAAAAAGATGTTTGTTTATTTATTTATTTATATTATACTTGAAGTTCTGGAGTACCTAATATAGATGACAGGGTGATGGAGGCAGATGTTCCTTTTAAAAAAAAAAAGTTGTCATTGATTCAGCCAGTTAAGACCTGCCTATATCATGTTGATATGATTCTGCTACATTCACTTAAATTAACTTGATACAAATCTTCAATTATTTAATGGTGCAAATGTTTAAAGGAAAAAAATAAGTTAGAGAAATCACTTTTAAAGGTTAAAAATGTAGTCCACATCAAGTGCAACTTTATTTAGCAACAATCTACCTTTTTAAAACTGCTATAGGCTGGGCACAGTGGCTCATGCCTGTAATCCTAGCACTTTAGAAGCCCGAGGCAGGCAAATCACGAGGTCAGG